ATCTGTGCTTCTCTCAGTATGTTTGATTTGTCCTTTCAGATTCTCTGGTTTGGATTCCTACAGTCTCCATGCCTTGATTTTGCAGTTCCATGGCTGCAGTAGACAAAAGGTATGAAATTAAACAAGATAAATGCAGTTGTTTCACGACACGAAAGACATTTATCATCATATTTTCACAGTTTGCCATCAGCAACAAGCCCTTTGGAAATGTCACACAATAGCATAAAGAAACTAACTTACACTTAAATTTCCGCCCAATGAAGAAACCTGCAAAAACCGACACAGTGCAGAGAGCCAAACATACAATGGGGGAAAGATCCGGATGTGATGATGTGGGAAAGAAATCATCTGAAGTGATCAAACACAGAGAACAGTCCTGTTAAAAATGAAACTCAACATGTAATGCAAAATAGAGTTGGTTTGGAAGCCAACCTGGAACATCAATCCTTGTCTCTCTGCTCTGGTTGATGTTGTTCTGCTGGACTCTGCAGGTGAAGGTGTTGCTGTGTCTCTTCTCCACAGTCACTCTGCTGCTGACAGTATAGAGGTCATCAGGACCTCTGACTGTCTCTGGAGGTCCAGCAGAGAGGAGCTTTCCCTCACCGTCCAGCCACAACAGCTCAGGCTCTGGATACCAGCCTGCAGACTCACACTGCAGCACCACTGTGCAGGAGGAGCTGTTGATTTCTGCCCGGTTAACGACAGGTGAGGAGGCAGCACCTGATTATGAGACACAGTCTAGATTTTTAGAGTTTAATTTTGAACAGTGATCTTCCTGTTTGACTCTAAAGCTCCCTAAAACCCGGAGACGGACTCACCAACAATGAGCTGAACGAAGGCTTCCTGACGTATGGAGGGAATAAAGACTCCCTTCATCAGACCGTTTCACAGTAAATATTTTGAGGGAGACGTTTCCATGTGGCAGCTCTTCCACAAAAACTCTTGTGCGGAAATGATAGGATGGATTTTGACTCTCATACAGCAGTCGTCCATCTTGGTGAACGTGGATGTACTTTGGGTCCAAACCAGGTCTGGTCCAATTCACCGTCATGGAATCAGCACTGGTGGCTGGATCGAGGCGACATGGTAGAATGACATCATCACCAACGAGGGTGATGATTGGTCGATCTGAACAAACCACCTGAATCTGTCCTATAAAGAGAAAACAGACAGTTTGAGAATTCTCCTTCTTTCAGCTTTCAGCTATTTGGTTAAATACATCTGGTGATTTAAAAAAAGCAAATTAATGTAGAATTACAAACCATCCAACAATCTGCAACCCAAAACTGTGCGATCGAAAAATGTGACAATCTGCCAAACAATTTGCATTTGTGCAAAAATAAAACCTACAATGTCCAATGCAAAGAATTTACACTGTTCCAGCAACTTAAGATAAGACTTATTCATCACAGCATATCAATTCAAACAAACCTCTGGGATAGCGACCTGTCNCTTCACCCTGAGTCAGCTGGGATAGACTCCAGCCCCCCATGACCCTAGTGAGGATTAAGCGGTGTATAGATGATGGATGGATGGATTTGTCTGACTCTGAATGAGAGCAGCTGCATCGTAAGCAGTTTCCTTTCAAGGATCAATAAAGTACTTTTGATTCTTATCAGGACTGTGCATTCAGTGTGGTAGTCCTGGTCAAGTTAACGCTGAACATGCTGGAGTCCAACTGATTTTCTTTTTCTTTTCCCTACGAGTGTTCAGAATAAGTTTCAGAATGTACAGTCATAAAAAAATGTTTAGATACACCTTTAAAGACAATGTACATCGTGGCAGTCTTGAGTTTCCAGTGACACCTCTTACTCTGAATTTTCTAAACTCATTGCTACATAAATCTCTTTGCTCCAAACTTGAACTCCTTGGAGACAAATAAGCAGATGTTCCCTAAAGCTAAACCCCCCGATGGTGGTTTTCAGTAGTTCAGGCAGTTTCACTGATTATCAGAAGATTTACAGCACATTTAAAACAACCCGAGTTGACCAACATACTTCACATACAGACTTCAGTCATAACCTCTCTCACAGATGAAGGCATTTTAGTTCAAACAAGGGAAAAAATAGAAGTGTAGGGTTTAATATGTAAAATGCACTTTTGATTCTCTGCATTTTCTTTTTTTTTTAAGATTAGATGGAATTCAAGTTCACTCCACGAGCTGAACGACTAAATTTCCATGTTCAGGGGAATACACAGCATAACTTGCTATCTTGAGTAGCCATCAGTCACAATTCCCATTTTTTTTTGTTATTTATTGTACCTTTATTTAACCAGATATCAAACTAATTCAAATGAAAACTGGGTTTATCATTTGAATCCTTTTATTTCTTCACAAATACATGTTTCTCTCTAAGTTTAATTTGTAATTTGTAGCCATTAGTCACAAATTGAAATGAAAACAATCGAGGGGGAAAAAAAAAAAAAAAAAGGATCTATCATTCAGCTGCATGAATCAAATGAAACACGGGTTTAGAACTTTTGTTGTCTTCTGACCACAGAGACGAAATCCCGAAACAAAACAAAATGTTGTTGAACAGTTTTAATTGTACATTTTTCAGTGCAACAGATTGCATCCATGGCCACGTGTCAAATTAAATCACATCAGACCTTCAGAGCAACGACATGAAAAACTTTGGAACACAAACAAACAAACGAAAAGGCCGACAACAATCACAAAGTCGCCACAAACGTTACCTCCTCTGAGGTTAATCATTAGCCACGGGTTTAAGACTTTCTTCAGTTTATTGAAAACTCCAACAATGAATAATACTGACAGTTGGCCTTCATGTGAGTTTTTGCCAATAGAATGAGAAAAATATATGTTGACAATTCAACACATAAATACATAAGAGTACCACAAAACAGCCTTCAATACAAACTTGACTGCACTTTTTTATTTTTCATTTTAGTTAAAAAAATTATGTCTCACAGCCAAACATTGCAATGGAGTCTCCTTTGACTTGCTTCTTTTTATCCCTGTTTTATCACAGTGGCATAATTGTTTTGGTTCTAGGCATCGAGCAGCACTTTTATACGATCTTCATGGGCCTGCTTTAACCTTTGTTTGACCTCCCATGAATGTTGTTTTTCTCTAAATAGCCAGTTAATGGCCAGTGCTTCCTTTTGCGTTCATCTGTGCTTCTCTCAGTATGTTTGATTTGTCCTTTCAGATTCTCTGGTTTGGATTCCTACAGTCTCCATGCCTTGATTTTGCAGTTCCATGGCTGCAGTAGACAAAAGGTATGAAATTAAACAAGATAAATGCAGTTGTTTCACGACACGAAAGACATTTATCATCATATTTTCACAGTTTGCCATCAGCAACAAGCCCTTTGGAAATGTCACACAATAGCATAAAGAAACTAACTTACACTTAAATTTCCGCCCAATGAAGAAACCTGCAAAAACCGACACAGTGCAGAGAGCCAAACATACAATGGGGGAAAGATCCGGATGTGATGATGTGGGAAAGAAATCATCTGAAGTGAACAAACACAGAGAACAGTCCTGTTAAAAATGAAACTCAACATGTAATGCAAAATAGAGTTGGTTTGGAAGCCAACCTGGAACAT